ATAATATTTTTTAGTGTTCGTTGACGGGATTCTTCCTCCAAAATAAATTTGTCAATATTCCTGAAGAACTTTTGCACATTATTATTGTTATTTGAATAATACAGTTAATTATGTTTTATTTTTCGTCATCAGAATAACCCATTGTAATTTTTTAAATTTTTTAAATTAAAATGGGTTATTCTAATAATGATAAATCCCATGTATTTTTAAAAGAAGATTTGTTTCTGTCGTTTTTGTCTGATTGTGTGCGAGAGAGATAGAGTTATAGTGTGCGATAGAGATAGAGTGACTCTGTCCTCATAGAGGGCTTCTCTCTCTCTCTCTGCTCCCTTCAGGAGTCTCCCCAGCAATTTCAGGACACCTAGGGAGGGAGCTTGGGGTAGAGCGCTTGGCCTTTTTAGCCTTCGTTATCGATCCATGATGTCACACAGTATAAGAAAAAAAAACGGTTTTTGCTCGTAACTCGGAAATGGCTGGAAATATAAACAAATTTCGCCTTGTTTCTGAGTTGAGCATTCGGGTGACGTAGAGCGGGGTGTCACAAAATATGAAAGGAAAAAAACAGTATTTGCTTGGACTCTAAGTATCAAAAAATCTCCCATGGTGAACGAGTGAGAAACGTCAAAACCCGCATGTCAAAAAAAAAAATCGGGACCAACGGTGTGTGACATCATAGGATAAAAAAATATTTATAACTCGGAATCGAAAAAATAATTGAAAAATCTCAACTGTTCCTTCTGCGTTGAATGCAAAAGGTCCGAAGTCCGTATATCGAAAATAAATATTGGAAACACGAGGTGTGTGACATGTTATAGTAAAAAGACCGTATAACTCGGAAATGGTGCGTTAAATCGAAAAAATTATTGAAAAAATCTCCTCACACCCCTGGCTCTGTATGTCAGTTCTGCGTTGAATGGAAAAGGTCCGAAGTCCGTATGTGGAAAATAAATTTCGGAAAGAAGAGGTGTGTGAGGTGATACAGTAAAAAGCCCGTATAACTCGGAAACGGTGCGTTGAAGAAAAAACAATATAATTTAACCTATCTGATGATATTACAGACTACTCTGCCGGCTATATGACCCGACTAGCATTATATTACCAATATGGCAATATCTAGTAAACAGTAAGGATCATTTGTCAGTCGAGCCCACCAGACATATACCGGTTTCAGATTTGTTCCTCATCAGTATTGGTTCTACTGATGAATGATGGGTACCCCTAGTTCATTGATGTAGCACTCTGCTAGGGTTCGCTTATACTGTAGGCTATTGATTATATCCAAAAAACAAGGTTAAAAGGAATTATGACGTTCAAGCAATTTTATTACATGAATCGTTCAATGGGTCATTTNCCTTGAGGTTCCAGCAATTTTACATTGTGTTAATTTTTTTGAACACCTTGTGTCACAAATATGAGCACTACCAATGGCATCCATGATATGCAACACTTGTGTCAATAATTATTTTACCTATCTAAAGAAATCAACAATAAGAGAGCAGTACCCATCTAAGGATACACAACCTGTATAATGCAATTTTTTTAAACATGGGTGTTAATATCGCACCATATTGGAAGTCGACGCACAAATCTAAAAACATTAATTTCGAGTTTTTGAATTTTCCCATTCCAAGGTGATATAAAATAAATAATTAATTAGGTAAATTCATAGTTTTAATTCTAACTTGATTTATTTTATTTAGCATTTAAGGCAAATGTGATTTCCAAACAGAAGATAAGTTCCATATCTCTTTAATTACATAATTGAATGCATTAAATTTATTTAGCAGTTATTATTTGGCAACAAAGCCACCGCTGGAACTGCCGCCTATTACCAAGTAGAAGAGTTACCACGCTAAATTTCATTGATGGAAGCCGGCTAACAAAAGCCTGCATCCATTTCGGGTTGCCAATTCCCAGCATTTAAGAAGCAATCTGTGGCGATACGCTATATTGTCTGTGCCTGTACCTATCTTTACTTAAAAAAAAAAAGAGACAAAAAAAAAAAAAAAAAAAAACAAAAAATAAAATTTTGCGCTTTTTGAAAAGGTTTTTTTTGCATAAAATTTTCCTTTTAAAATATTTATGTACGCTATTTCGATGGGAAGTGCAATTCTCTAAAAAATTTTTCTAATTTAATAGCACTCCGCGGTTTTTTCATCTAAAATGACCATTTGAACGATTCATGTAACAAAATATCTGGAACGTCATAATTCTTTTTAAAATCCTATATTCAATTCAAACTAAAAAGTATTTATTAAAAAAGTAACCACTAATTAGTAGAGGATAAAAATGTTTCTTGTGATTTGATGGAATTGATAAGTTCTCGAATATCTTTTACCTTCATCTTACTATCTTACTTTTTATAAATACTAATACATTGTAGTGATGTAACGAATATCCGCATTCGCATTCGCGAATATTCGTTTGATTTATGATATTCGCATTCGTATTCGCATTCGCAAATATCTTTGAATATTTTGCGAATATGAACGTGAAAGAAAAATACAGAATGTGGAAACAATCGTTCAGCATCGCAAATCGTAAAATAAGTCCATATTTCACTAGAAGTTGATTTACTCATGTTAAGAAATAACTAACAACAGTCTAACATCACAATTCACAAATTCATCTGAGCCGGTAGCGAAAACAAAAAAAAATTCCAAGCATACAAAAATACCTTTCTACCAACTTAACAACGCTAATTTCTTTAGCCTCTAGCGCCGTTGTCACCGAAAATATTATGTGCGTCGCGCGCGGCATATGTTGAATCATAGATAAACGGCGCTAGATTTAAAAACTGAATATTCGTATTCAACAACAGATGTTCGCATTCGCATTGGCATTCGCGAATGCTTAAAAACTGGCATTCGTTACATCACTAGTACATTGTACATTAATTTTGAAATAAACTTAATCTTAAAATCTAATTTTCCTTATTATTATTATTTTTTATTAAAATCCGGGTACATAATAATTTTTCTTAATTTGTGTTTATTATTCGCTGATGTTGTTCTAAATAATAGCCCTGGGCTATTATAAGAGCTTTGAAAATAACGTTTAAACTATTTACTTTTTTACGATCTTTTGCGTAGAATACAGCATACCTTATTTTGTTATTGATGTATTTTCACAGAAATGCCATTGAAGTTTGTTGTTTCTAGCATTCTGTTTCACCGGTTGTGATTAGTGCAAACATTTATGAGGGTTATGTATTTCTTATAACAATCGACATGTAAGGGCCAATAGAAATTGGTTAAATTCGAAAATTTTTCTTATATCTATCTAACACCGTTTAACTGAGAATCACACTGTATTCATTAAAATTCATATTTATTATCACAATTCATTAGTACTCATTTGAAAAAGAACCTAACTAACTATTGATAACGGTCGTATTACGCCAGTCCATGCCCGTCTATATATATTCCAAACTAATCCCACTGTATAAAAATATATGCGATTTTATTATTTTAGAAGTTTAACGTCACACAGCGACGTAGAACAAAAACACGTCGCCAATCGTCAACATTACTTTGCGGGTATGTTTCTGATATCACAGGCGATTATAAAAGCGAGGATAGTGACGGCGGTGATTAGTTGTTTGTTAGTAATTACAATTAAAAAAACTGAATTAACTGGCAGTTTGGAGGTTTCCCGTATAGAGTATATAAGGGTTAATTATGAACTAAAAAGTGTTTTATGAAAACAAATCGGAGACGACAGTCGTGAGATCTAGAAAGACAGGTACATTTTTATTTTACTAGTAACACCTTAATATTATATATTTTAAATATTGGCGTATAAAAAATTAGGTTAAGCTATTCCGAACAGGCTTGCCGTAATTTCTAGGTGTTGTGGCAAGGAAGACATGACAAAAAAATTGATTTTGATGTGAAAAATGATAAGATAACGTCACAAAAGCAGTCAATGTAATAGTGGTGTAAAACTGGCATTGTTTTAATTTATCAGTTCCGCCTACAGTTGTGACGTCACGATCTTAGCCTTGTAGCCTTGTAGTTTCAATGATACAGGATTAAATGTATATCAAAATTAACATATTAACCACAAATTCGATTGATCCGTGAAAAATATTTACCTTTCTGTCAATGCTTATTTTTCTTATTATTTTTGGACAATTGCTCAATTAATCATTGTTACATATCATAAGTGCCTTTGTTTACGTAGCCTTTAGATTTATCTTTCCGAAATCGATATTTGTTACACGAAGAATGCATTAATATAATTAAATTGCGACTACTTTCGATCCACCTGTTCTCGGAATTGGCACTAGACCCAAACTAATTTAACAGACATTCGTTTTGAACAGGCTTGTACTTGATACAATTTAGCTGCACGTGATCTTTAATTGAAAAATGTGATATAGTAAAACTAGTCTACGCTGCCGAAATTTACATATAAATTTATTAACCTCAATTTGTTGCATATAAAGTTAAATTGTTCAAAGTAGATTTTGATTAGTTTAGTTTAGGTCAATTTATATTACATTTTGGCGTGATGCATTCGATTAATGTTTTATCTTTCAAATAATTTTGTTCTTTGATACAGAATCCACCACACCAAATTGATTTAGAAACAAATAAACTGTATAATATTCTTCTAACAAGATGATTATTACTTTGCCAAATTTACAGCCAAAGTGATAAAACAATTTATTAATAGTGTATAAATCTTTTGATTCGGTTTATCAGTCACAACAATAAAACAATAGGTATTTCGGCTCAAGATTGGTTTATGTTATACTTTCTGACACTTTGACAGTACCTGGTTTCCGAATTATGTAGATTTGATGTGTCAAATCCTTGTCAAATTCATAGTGCTTAAAGATGCCATGACAGTTTTGGTACGTCAACAATTATTTAGTGATTATAACCACTTACCATCTATTCAAAATATATTTGCAACACTTTTTTTTCGTGTTGTATTTTTGACATAAAATTAGTATATCTATATTAGTGGCCTGACATATTACGTTGTTGCAGAATTCAGCTCCATTGAGGAGCATCTTTGGGGAAGACCATCCAACTCCATACAGTACTCCTGAAAGTTATTTCATCCATTTTTTTCAAACTACTAAGGGGGGATGGTGTACTTTCTAGCCGAGTGGGGTATGGGAGATACTGAGAACGGAAAGAGGAGCTATGCGGAACCCACTAGCGACCCCTTGAGACGTACGGAACGCCTCGATCGAGACGTAGATGAAGTTGACTTGTTTCCACTCAGCAATCAGGTAAGGAACTTTGATCTTTTCAGCTGAAAGAAAGAGTACAAGTGCTAATAATAAAAAATGTATAAGATTTAGCGGAAAAGACAATTACTGAAGGTGACATAATGCATAAAGATTAGAGTACATTACAGTTTCTAGAAGCCTAAAAGCTACTTCTTTTTTTGTGATTTCTAAATTGTAGCAGCACATGTCGACTTTTTTTTCAGCTGTGAGCACAAACTAATGCTATATTATACTGTGATAACAAATTGAATTGAGTAATTAGGCTTTAAAAAAAAGAAGAGACGAAGGTACATTGTACTTTAACCTAAAAGATTACAAAGTCCTCAAAATTAATTTTTCTAATCAGCATTATGTAAAAAATATCGAATAAACGAAAAATTAAACATTTTTATTGAGTGATATGTTCAATCATTCTGGATCTCTTTGTAATCTTTTTGTATAAATTATGTTTATACCTATTCAGATATCTATTAGTTATAATTTTGAAACAGTCAGTTTAAAAATCAATCCTTAAAATGCAAAAACAAGATATACAGGCAGTCCAGGAATTGGTCGACAATCTCGGATTTGGAAAGTTTTTAAAAAAATAACGTCACAAGTTCATATATCAAAGTAAAATAACTCCCTTTTTATTCATAATACAGAAAAAAGTTTATGTAAAAGTTGTACAGAATCAAAAAACCTAACGAACAAGATTACTTTGAAATACACAGGGCGATGAGTAAAAACGGGACACGCCAAATATTACATTTTTTAAATGGAACACCCTGTATATTTTTAAACATATGGATATCTGAGAAAATTCTGTATATGGCAATATAAACAGTTTAACATTTTAATGTAGGGTGGCCAAGTTATGTAGAAAATTCCTCGAATTTTGGAAAGAACATGACCTCGAAGAAGTTGTATTAACTTTCAGCTACTAATACTTGGAATAAACATATTTGACAGAGTTATAGGCAAATGTTAGGCAAAGACTCCTGCATTAGCTAATATCGATATTTTATACAGGTCAATTTTTATAATACGATAATTTTTAGAAAGTTTAAACATTTCCGAAAAAAATTAGTTTTTATTATTTTGTAGAATACCACAAATAAATATTAACTAATAAAATTAACTCAAAATTATATTCTTCCAAGTGTTAGTAGCTGAAAGTTAATACAACTTCTTCGAGGTCATGTTTTTTCCAAAATTCGAAGAATTTTCTACATAACTTGGCAACACCGTACTAAAATGATGAACTGTTTACATTGCCATATATAGAATTTTTTCAGAAATCCATATGTTTAAAAATATACATTTAAAAAAAATAATATTTGGCGTGTCCCGTTTTTATTCATCGCCCTGTATGTTTCAAATTAATTTAGTAGTTTAGGTTTCTTGATTCTGTTTAACTTTTATATAAACTTTTTTTCTATATTATAAGTAACAAGGGAGTTAATTTACTTTCTCACACTAATGTCCCACCCTGTATATGTTTTTTATTAGGACTGACTAGAGTTATTAACTCTTGAAGTTGAGAGTTAAAAATAGATATTTCGTTATAACTTTCTTGTCTTTTTTATTTGAAGTTATTTCTAACAATTTATTCAAATTATTGATAGCTACTTTGGGCGCCATCCACACCTTTGGCCCTCAAAAAACATTTATACACTTACTTTTTAATATTTATCAAGTTTTAAGATTTTTCTACTTTTTTAAGAGAAAAAAAGTGTACTTCTTTGACGGTTCTTAGTATCGATAACAAGAAAACATATTTTTTTTTCCTTTAAAAAGTAAAAAAGTCTTAAAAACGGCAACATAAATTAGAAAAGCCCTCAAAGTAGCTTTCTGTAAATTGAATACATTAATAGAAATAGTTGCCAATAATACAGTTTTTATAAAAAAAATATCCAAAATATCGATTAACAAAAAAGTACAACGAAAAACGGTAGATAATAACTCAAAAAAATTAGCCCGGGTAAATGAAAATTATATAAACTTGTGACGTTTACTTTTTCAAGGTCTGTCCAAGTTCTACAGATTGCTATCTATTTCCTGGACACTGTGTAATTGATACACTTGTATATACAATAGTTAGGCAACCAGTCAAATTTGTTGATAACAATTCTAGATGGCGATATTCGTTGCCATCCTTATTTATATTATACGGCATGATGGAGTTTTACCAAAAATATTTACTGGTTGTCTAACTATTTATTATTTAATTTTATTTCCTAAGTAACTTGATTCTATTAATATTCACATACATATGTATTAATTTAACTTAAAGGAACAGCAGCAAGAAATGCATGTACGGATCGGGATATAGAGATAAGCTTTCTCTCTTTGTGTCTATCTTGCAGTTTAGAGATTTGGCAAATTCAGTGTGACTCAATTTTTTGTTAGCGCAAACATTCATTTTGCATAACCGCAGTGACGTAATAGTTTCACAAGATATTTCTAAAAATACGAAAACAAATATCTTAAATTTAACCTATTTTGACGCATGAAATGGTTTCGACATAAGTGAATTTTGGAAGGTCCAAACAAGTTGAGACCTGCACTGTATAAGGAGTCTGGGACTGCCTCTTAGTACGTGATGTCAACAACCCTATCCTTACAAGCCCATTCATAAAATTTTCAAGGTCAGCAATTGGTTCGTAGTAAACTTGATCGCCAGCGCAATGTTGCCAAGTCTACAGATCTTACTAGTAACTTAAAATTGTTACGATTTCATTCGATTACGTCAGTTGCTCACTTCTGGCTCCTTGTTTCAGGTTGGAGGTCACACCAGATTGATGGTATTGAATCCTAACACGATCTGCAAGCCCTTGAACTATAGGGAGCTAGACTTCTATCAAAATATTCAAGAGCAGGACATTAAAAATTTCGTACCGAAATACAAAGGTAAGCTGAGTAACTTAAGTTCAGAAAAGTGACACTGGAAAAGACTCTAGATTAAAAGTGGACTTACAGAAAAAATGATACACTGTGATGTTCAGGTCTAGAATATTGGCTAAAGCCGAATATTCGAGATGGGAATAGTTAGTTCGTAATAATTTAAGAATACGAATTTATTGTAATGTTTGTAGATAGTAAACAATAAACATTACTTAATTATTAAAAATTTCTTTGCATGTGATAAGTACTTGAAGACTGTAAAATATATCAGAATATCATTTTTAACCTTTCACATATGTTTTGTTTTATTTTTTTTACATCACGTTTATTCCCTTTGTATATATTGTGATGTTCCGCCTCATTTTTTAACACATAAATACATTGCGATTGTTTATTTTTTGGTAAAAATAAATGTTTCATGTTTTATTTATTATTTCTTATTACTGTGTGGATGGATGCATGTACGGATTTAGACTTGAATTGATTAGAAAAAAAAGATTGTCGTTTTAGCAAAAACAGTTGCGAAATGCACGCAACTTCATGGATCTCTAGAATGAAAGCTGGCTGTCTGTAGACTCTACAAAGCGAAAGATTTACTTACATATTCCATGAATTTTTCTTTTTGTTATCACGACAATTTGAAATGGCTTTAATTAAAGCCTCACTGATAGTGAAAACTCTTTTTCGTATTAGTAAGTAACATGATATATTGTAGAGGTAAGTATGTGAATATAGAGATTTATTTTTATCAGTAATATATCGAGAGTTGGCATGACCTGTTTAAAATAAAATCTGTAACAATGTCTGGGTTTTGTTGATGCATTAACCCTTACATATGTTTTTTAAAATTTTCAAAAATTATATAAAATTAATTAAAAGAGCAATGTTAACATCCGGGTAAAAAATATTTAAAAGAAAATACACCTACTGACTGATCGTGAGTAATATCCTATTATTCCTTACGCTTTTGGTTATTATTTATGTTTATTTCCCTAATTTAACAAAAAGTTTTAGTAGTCCGGTTCTGTCTTTTTTAAAATAAATAAGCAGACAGGACCAACTGTACTAAAATTTTTATTATTATTTGCATTAATAAAAATACCAACATGGTTAAGACTGTTATCTGTACATTTTTACAATTTTAGGGTTAATTAAAATTTTTTACTTATATTAACTTTTCCATAGAATCCTCTGACAATTTTTATCATCCCTTTCGTTCATCTACAACACCACCTCTCGTGATACCACACCAATTATTTTAATATTGTTTATACTTTACCTAATTATCCTCAAACTTGTAAAAGATGTAGTTATGACTGGTCCCTATGCAGTGTTGCCAACTCTCTTTTGCCGAGATTGAGAGATTGCGTGTGCGAATGTCAACAAAACGTTTTTCCAAAAAAATCGTTTACTTGTTTTATTGAGGGCCTCGATCATCTCCAGTTGGATTGGCCGACAGACAGACGGCTCTGCCTGCCCGCTGCCTACCTGCCCTTGTGAAACTGGCGTCCATTTCTGAGGGTTTGTATGGACGTTCTCCAATAATTTTACGGGTTGGAAGGCCATTTTATCTTATACTTAAAGAGAGAGTTAGCTTTGGGTACCGATCAAAGTTCGTTTTGTATACAACAAATTTTGATGACCACACGGATTCTTGTTGGCTACTGGAAAAATAGACTAATTATTCGAACTGACATCGTAAATATTCATTTGCTTGATTAATAAAGGAAGTAAATTTACCGGTAATATATTTTTTCCGAAATTAACAGTCACATTTAATTTACATACTTCCAAAACAACTAAATTAGATACGACTATAAATCAATGAAATATATATAAAATTTCATAAAAATAATTTTTTTGTGGTAAAACCAGAACAGGGGACACCAAAGCATAATTTGGTCATATCAAAAGCTCACTCTCTTAGGAAAAATATTATTTCTGTTTTCCGTAACGTACACAAGTTCAATAATAATTAAAAATGTTACTAAAATGCATATTGTCTAAGTCACCAACAGCATTGTAAAAATACCGTCATACATTTTTGTTTGTATTAAAATTAATCAAATAATATTGATCAAGAGTCTTACATACGTCTAGGGAAGATTCTATGTATATTTCTATATGTTTTGGCGAATTGTTCCAGGAGTCATGCAAGCGACTTTGTGTAGTGGAGGAAAAATGGAAAAAAGATACAGCCCAAGCTTCAGAGATGACCACACTCGCGGAAAATCTGACAGGAAGAGGAAGAGAGGCGAAGAAGTTTTAAAGTAAGTGGTTTAACTATAACTGTTCGTGTTGATTAACTGTCCATTAAAATAACAGATTTTTCTATATATTAAATGTTATTCTTGTTGATTTTCAGAATGAGAATCCACCACACAGGCAACCCTAAGGATGTTATAAAGAGTATTTCCCAAGCAGACAATACAAATAAACAATATTTCCTCATGCTGGAAAATATCACTTCCCACTACACCCACCCCTGCATCCTGGACCTCAAAATGGGCACTAGGCAGCACGGCGACGACGCCTCTGCCGATAAACGAAGGAAGCAGATGGCGAAGTGTGCCGCGAGCACTTCCGCTTCCTTGGGTGTCCGCTTGTGCGGTATGCAGGTGTATCAACCAGAAACGGATCTCTACTACAAGAAGGACAAATATTGGGGGCGCGAACTGAACGAGGAGGGGTTCAGAAATGCCCTGAGGATATTTTTCGATAACGGATACGGACTGAGAGTAGGGGTTATAAGGAGAGTAATCGCCAAGCTGGAGGAACTGAGGAGGGTGATAGAGAAACAGTCTTGTTATAGATTTTACTCGTGGTAAGTAAAGGAAACTAAAACGAAAAGTCATTAAGGGCGCCGTTCACGCAAAGATTTTAAATATTTAATAGCTGAACTGTTTAGGATTTGCTGAATAATAATAATAACATTGTGTTGTGTCACTTTTCATGGGTAACAGAAAACGATGAACAAAAAGCAAGGAACAATGGCTCAACATACATTTTTAAATTCATATTTCTTCTGTATAAATTAACTGACACGTCATTTGGAATGAAATATACATAAAGACTAAATAGAGAAAAGGAACAATCCTTTGTGGAAAAAATAAGGGAAACGAATACAAATTCAATTGACTTATTTTGATTTTATGAGACAAATTAATTTTATTAATTAAGTTTATGTTCAACTTCCGTATAAATCATCATTTTTCTATAATAAGTATCAAATCATCACCTTTGGCAATATAAATACCAATAGTACCATAGTTGAACATGCTATTTTCCAATAATGAATAACTATTTATAACTTCTTCGGTTCTTAAAATTTCTATTTTTGAATTTACATGATTTTTCTGGGCTTTGTATCTAGATACGCTCATCTTAAATAACAGGAATTGTTTAATGATCTTTACAGAAATAAGCGTGGTTTGTAAGCTTCGGTGATATTCACAATGGTTAAACAATTTCGCGGCGAGTTTCTTCTTCTGAAAAGAGTGATGTGTCTTCTACTAGATCAAAGATCTAAACCGACGACACAATAGCCTGGAAATTGTTTAATTTCTTACATAAATTATTTCTATTCTATTTATCGACATGGTCGCCCTGCTGTCCATTTGTCCACAAACTTGCCAATGAACTTGAAAAAAACTTTGATGTAGACCTCTGTGTTGAAAGTTACCCCGATCATCTTTTGGGATGCCATTGGTACACTTCCTAGAAAAAGGTGAAATTCTGACATGCAGAAGCTTGAGGTATTACAGTATCCAAGAACATTTGCAATGTTGGCTAAAAGCTGCACAGCATTCTTTAAAAAATATCTGGTTAGAGTACCCGTAGGCAAAACTTTTATTGATACCTACTCTCCAAACTTCTTATAGCTTCATTAGGCCTAGCCTGACACCTTTTTCTTCTGTGATTTTTTTGATTTTGGGGCGTTTTCCCTCAAATTTTTCCGAAACACGTTTTGATATATGAAAAATTTATAGATACTGTTTTTTTTTTAAATTGAATAGCTTAAAAACTTCAAATGAAACGTGAAAATAAAACTCTCTGACAAAATATATGAGCCGTTCAAAATGTTTGTAACTCGAACATGTCAGAAAAACTACTATAACAAAATTTATTATTAACCAGCTGATTTTCTTAAGATCCTACCTTTAAGAACTGCAAAAACAACTTTTTATATTGACTGACGAAAATTATTTTCCGATTTTCCAGTCTGACGCGTCAAAGTTGTCGATTTTATGACTACAACAAATTTATTAATAACAATAACAAACTAGAATATAGGACTGTCATTGTTGAAAAATCTCATTTTTTCGTCAGACTCTAGTTACGCCCCAATATATTTGTCAGTGATGTGTACCACATATTAAGTACTGCTTTTCTGCATATAATTTTTCAATGTCTGACGGTTATTAATACATTAGTTGTAGTCATGAAATCGACAACTTTGACACATCAGACTGGAAAATCGGAAATAGTCCAGACGGCATCTGTTTCAAAAAGCCATATTTGGGTGGATCGTATATCCACGGAGATTTTTGGCTTTTTTGCTTTCAAATATCACTAGAAATTAAAATTTTTCTATGCGCATAAAAAAAAACGTGGGCTTAACTTTTGGCGGCACAATATGTTAAAAAAATTCGAAAAATGTCATATTTTTCTTCCTATTTAATTATGTATCTTTTCAAGAGTTGATTTTAGGCGAAAATGGAAGAGGAAAAAATGTTTGCAATTAAATTTTTTACAAAACATGTCTAGTTACAAATCGAATGAATCATGATTATTATGGTAAAAATCGAAAAAATCGCAAAAATGGGGTTAAAAAAACAATACTTCTTAGGGAATTTTTTTGGGGTATTTAAATTGGGTATAGGACCTTTATACTTGGCTCAAGAAAACTTCATGTTATGTAGAATCATCACACCAAATTTCATCAAAATCGGTT